CTCCGGCGGGGCGGGGCGGCGCCCCCTGCTGGCGCGGAGGAGCGCGGCAGGGCCTCAGCCGGGCGGGGGGCGCAGGGCCGGGGGCACGAGGGGTGCCCAGCCCGGGTCTCCGCACAGGGAGAAAGGCGAGGAGCCGCCTGAGAGGGTGAAGATGAGGAGGGGTCTGGAGCATCTCTCTTAAGAGGAGAGACTGCGGGAGCGGGGCCTGTGTAGTCTGTTTAGTCTGGAGAAGAGAAGGGATCTCATTATCGCGTGCAGACATCTCAAAGGCGGGTGCCAGGAGGATGGTGCCAGGAGGATGGTGCCAAGCTTCTCAGCGCTGCCCGGCGACAGCTCAAGGAGCAATGGCCGTAAACTGAAGCACAAGAAGTTGCACCTCAACGCGAGGAAGAATATCTTCACACTGAGAGTGGCAGAGCACTGGAACAGGCTGGCCGAGGGAGAATGTAGAATCTCACTCCCTGGAGATATTGGAACCCACGTCCCTGTGTCACCTGCTCAGGGTGACACTGCCTTAGCAGGGAGGTTGGACTGGACAATCCCCAGAGGTCCCTTCCAACCCTAACAGTTCCGTGATTACATGTAAATCTTGTCTCTCTGGGACGCTGCAGTGCTGTCTGCCTTGGCTGGGGTCCTGTCCTGACTCTCCTCCTGTCCTCCACGCTGGTGAGACCCAGCACAACACACACAGGGCTGTTGGATCAGGTCCAGAGGAGGCCACAGGATGGGGGGACACCTTCCTTGTGAGGACAGGCAGAGAGCTGGGGTTGTGCAGCCGGGAAAGGGGAAGGCTCCATGGAGACCTGATTGTGACCTTTCGGTGTGTAAGGGGGCTTTTAAGAAAGAGACTTTTTACCATCCCATGACGGGACAAAGGGCAACTGTTTAAACTGAGAGAGGGCAGGTTTAGATTAGATGCTGGGATGAAGTTCTTTACCGGGAGGTTGGTGAGGCACTGGGACAGGTTGCCCAGAGAAGCTTTGAATGCCCCATCCCTGGTAGTGCTGAAGTCCAGGTTGGATGGGGTTATGAGGAGCCTGGTCTAATGAGAGGTGTTCCTATCAATGGCAGGGGAGCTGGAACTATATGATCCTTCAGGCCTTTTCACACCTAAACCACTCATGAGTCCATGACACCTCAGCATATGCCAACAGAGAGCCAGAGTGGGCACACAGCCACTAGAAACAGAACTTTGGAAACATGAGAGAGACTGACGGACTTCCCTCCACCAGGGCAGTTCAAGGGTTGGCAGAGATAAGAGGCCCTACAGAACAGCTTGCACCTCAAATTTAGTATCAGCCACTCGTGTTTTGACATCTACATTGAATTAACCAAGTAATTCACACTTCAGTATTGGACTTTAATATTGTATGCAGGCTAACAGCCTCAATAAATATTTTAATGTAATATTTGAATGAATCATTCTCTATTGCACCTGTTATTGCATTTAACAAAAGCTATGTGCTAAAAGCTACCACTTCTGTAGATTTGTTCCTTTATTCCCAATTCTTTGATTCACTTCATCACTCAAACTTTGAAGTCAATTTCAACTACATTTGGCAGCCAGATTATGAGCTCCCTGAGAACAGCCAGCTTTTGGTATCTGCCTGTATGATGGCTTAAAACAGACCCCCAATCCTGAGTCTTTGCTGATGACACTGAGCCTATTCCCCCTTGCAGAGACAGATCAAATGATATTAAGTAAGGGTTTAGACCACCTCCCAAATCCTTGGAAAATGGGAAGATGTAAATAAAATAAAATAAAATACAAAACACCATTCCAGAGGGCTGTCATTGGAGTAGGTACTGGTTATGCTTTATTTACAAAATCCAGAGATTTGTACATAGCAATCTACAGGACAGCATAGGGCTGGTATCAGGAGGATAAGGGACATGCTCAGCAGGAATTGAAGATGCCAGCAAGGAGTCATCCCAGTTCCACAGGGAACCTGCTTCCCCTTGCCTGAGGAAGCCACCAGACCCCTCCAGGAAGAAAAGCAGCAGCAATAGCCAATCCAGGCTGATGTGATTTTTGTTATCATTAAGGCATGAGAACACAAGTGATCGGTGAAGGAGGAAAGAGGAGACCAGCAGGGGTTCAGCACACCATTAAAGGCCATCCTGCCTGGTTCTTTACTTCCAGCGCCCACCAACCTTGCCCTTGGCTCCTGCCTTCTTGCTGCTACAATGCAAAAGGAAAGAAAAACATGTCAGCAGGATGGAAGCAGTGGGGCTCTATGGCCACTCTGTATTTCTGACTCCTAGATAAGGTTTCAGCTGCTTTCACTTCTCACATATTGGGCACACCTGCCATTGACCACATCCTGAGGAAAATATTGTTAATATTGTGGAAAAATATTCCCCCTGGGCTCTTAGTGTGAAAGGTAGGATGTGCATGCCTGAAAGAGATGGACCCTTCCAGACTCCTGGATTATCAGGGTAGAAATCCAGGTGGTCTCCGAACTAAGCGACAGGTCTATGCAAGCACAGACTTGATATTTTCTGAATACAAATCTGCTATGCTCTGGATTTTAGGACTTAGAGCTCTATCTAGAGAAATTTGCTCGGTATGAAAGAGCTCTGATCAAATTCTCCAGATGCTCCATTCAGTAGTGGAGGCAAAAAGCTGAACACTAATTTAAATACAACTAAGTGCTTTGCTCTAGCAAAGTCAGGGTGGCTATTTATATCATGAAAGCAAGAGCCTCCAAAACAATCCAAACAACTTTTTAGGCTTGCTCTCATATCAACATCCCTGTCTTGTTCAAGGTCTGTGGGAGCAGTCCAGCTACACTCCCCACTCAAAGCACCTGAGGCAAACTCTCTCCAAGAGTTCTTACACACAGAAGGACAATCCTACATGCAAGCCACTTACCTTCTGCCTGAGAAGCCTGAACTCAGAATGGGGCTGGGCAGGAAGTTAGTTGAGTTAGATTCTGTACTAGTTCCCATTAGCAGCACCTTGGTTTGTGGGGCTCAGCACACCCCCAAACCCTTCCAGCTCACACACACAATGATGAGGCTGCTTCTTGAACCAAAGGACATGCAGAGTGTGGGGTTGGGGACCAAGCACAAGGTGATGGGGCCTTGCTGCCAACAGGGGCCTTTCTTCAGAACCGCTGGTTCCTCCATGGAGAAGAAAAACATGGGGACATCACACCTGGGGAGATTTTTGTTGTGCTGCCCCATGGATTGGTTCAAGAGCCAGCCATATTTACAGAAGGATGTAGCACAGTGACAGAGACACACACAGAGTCGATACTTTACCTTTGACCAAGATAGGCTTGGTATATTTGAAAAAAATTGATGGTTTGCATAAAAGAGAGTATGCACTTTCTGCTTATCTTAAATTAAGCTTCATGTCCCTTTTGCCAGCCTTTCTGAAGGTTCAAAACCTGGTGTAGGAACTGCATAGCTCCTCAAACAAAGACAGAGTCCTTTAATGTCCACAAGCACCTGTGATGTTTGATGTTACACCTAACCTTTAGAGTGTGCTTAAGGAGATTTAATAAAGTCTGAAACAAGAGACTCATTTGATATAACACACCGTCAGGCACTGCTTTGGAATGATAGTGTCTAGCGTGGATAGAAATTTAAGCACACAGAAATCTCATTAGCTCTGGGCATCCCAGTGCAGATTTTCATTTTCAAATGATGTCCTGGAAGAGTACCATGTCTTTTCGGGGAACAAGCAGGCAGTGGCCTGTTGTGGATGGTGTGGTAGCGCCCCACAAGAGCAGGAACATCCAGACAAACGCTGGCATCCTTCTGCAGCTGCACATTCTGCTGAGGTTTATCAGCCTACAGCTCTGTACGAAAATACCACGGGAAGGTCAAGCCTTATGTTTGGCATTACAAGCAAACCCCCAGTGTTACATTCATTTGATAAGTCAGGGTGTTTTGGGGAAGTGGGAAGGCAGTAACTGGTCACACTCTTGTCATCCCAAAGATATCACCGAAGACCACTGCTTCATTCCTGGCATAACTTAGGTAAAAAGATAGAGATGCACAGAGAAGAGCAAACCCACCACTGGAGAGCTCTCCTCCCTTTCTGCCCTACAGTTACTTCTCTGTGAGTGTTAGTTTTCTGCATTTGCTAACCCTCAAGCTGTGTCTACCCCTGGTATCTCAGAAATCCATTAAAAATACATAGAATAAAGATATTAGACTCAAAAAAGTAATTAAATAGTCTTGTGTTGAAGGAAAAGTGGGAGAGAGATGAGTGAAAAGAACTCACAAGAGTAATCCCATTATGTTAGTTTTGTTACACACCATTCTTTGTAACCTTAGCAACCACTTGTTTATCCTTCATAAACAAGGGTTGTATTCCCTCAAGTATTCAAAGCACCTCAGTCAGGTGTTTGAAAAGCCCAGCAATAAGCAGAGGAAATTTTTGTAGGTATGGTGTGAAGAAACATGGTTTGTTCTTGTTAGGTGTTACATTCACTTCAGTTTTCCCTTCATTTTCTCAATGTGAGGCAGGATGGGAGTGGCCTTTCCATCTCTAGCCCCATTTCATTGCAACAAGAAAATGTCAGTGCTGAGGCTGAAGTGACACATTTGAACACTGAGAAGATATCCCCAAGCCAGGAGCTAGGAAGGGGATATAAATACTTACTGCTTCTGGGCCTGATCGATCCGGTTTCTGAGGGTGACAATCTGCAAACAACATACATGACCAGGGTTTTTAGAGACAAAGAAACCTTGTTCCCTCAAGGAGAGGAGAATTTTACCTGCCAAAGTGCTCAAAACAGGCACCTGTAGGAGGAATTAATACTTTCTTGGAAATAAAAGCTCACCCGTGGTTGAAGGACAGAAATGTTACTTCTTGGCAATAAATCTGCAAACCACCTTCACATGTCAAGGGACAGAAGAACTAGAATTTTATAATCCTTACTAGAAGT